AATGCAGTGGGACGGCCTCCGTATGCGTACATCCCCTTCTCCGCTGGACTCCGCAACTGTATCGGTAAGAAAGGGGAGAGGTTTGATTGTCTAAAGTTGATCAGATCTGTCAAGCATATTTTCCATATTTTCCTCAGAGATTCTCTGGAGAGTAACCACTGATTGTGTTTGTTTGTAATCCCCCTCAGGTCAGCGTTTTGCTCTCATGGAGGAAAAGGTGGTCTTGGCAGCCATCCTGCGTAACTTTAGTGTTGAAGCTTGTCAGAAACGTGAAGATCTGCGGCCTTTAGGAGAGCTCATCCTGCGACCAGAGAAGGGCATCATTATTCAGCTGGAAAAGAGAATTTTATCAAACTAGCACCTGCTCAGGTTGACAGAAGCTATTGAGATTTTTATGGATTTGTATTTATTTATTTATTTAAATGGTCTTAGAGCGGTCAGGGAGAGTTGTGATCTTGGTGTTTGGATTTTACAACCTTCTCATCATTATAGTCTTCATAATTACAAAAAACTAAGCTTTATGACAATAAATGAAGACTGTTGATTGTTTTCTTTCCTTGAATATATACATAATGCACAACTCTAACTCAACAACAACCACAACCAAGAATGTAGAAAAATCCCTGTAAAAATATGTATTTAATTGTAGGTATTATATTGCTATGAAGAGCTAAGCAATGCCAGTATTTTGGAACTAATGTTAATAAAACTTTCTTTAACAAATGTAGCTTTGAAGCAAATGTTATGATGAGATAACGGTGCTTCCTCACTGGTTTTAGTCACTGCCATCCATTTTTCTAGGTTGTTTGCTTTAAAAGAAAAGGAATATTGGTATCATTCGTTTCTGCTATGCCTCCTGTTAATACCTGCAAATCTAGGAAACGTACAAATATTGAAATGCTCATGATGTTTTATTTTGTGATAAAATATCTTAAGCAGAAAGTCTCTATAGAATGAGACTTTAGTATACAGTATGGCACAGCTGGTAATACAATCCTGAAGCTTCTAACTCAGAGAGATGCAGGGCTTGGCTTAATAAGAAACACTTACATATTAATTTCATGTACAAACATCATAACAAATTCAAGCCTTTCATTCGTGCTGGATTTGTTGCATAATGTTGATTATCAAACCCCTAGCTGTATAATGTTCATTGTGTAACACCGATACAATAAATGTCCTATTTAAGTTTGATAAATCCTCAACCCTGTATCGGTCTCTGTCCTGTTTTCTTGTGTTATTCCGACTGAGAAAGACTGTTTGTGTGACTTGGGGAGTGTGTTGGATACCACGTGGTTACAGCACATGCCATATGATGACATTATACCCATTTTCTAATTGGTAAACATATTCTACAATGTAACTGGAAGGCACATTTTCCATCAGACCATCCCTGTACACAAATACTCACATTTAACTCTGAACATTGTCAAAAAGCTTTTCAGTACTATTTAAGTAAAACTCTCTACGTTCAATCAACCTGGTGTGTGGAAGTCTTGGAGGATCCATTCAGAGTTTGTGAGCAAAACTCTTCAAAATCACATTGAGGTCAGAAGGATCCATCGTCACACCCATAGACTGTATATATAAGGTCACACCGTGTAATCAAAGCATGGCACAATTGCAAATGACCCCATCCATAACGTCATTAGATGATTTAGCTGGCATGCCTGCAAGGATCATTGCCTAACACCAAAACAACATGACTGGTGATTCATTGCCGGCTCTACCCTCATACTATTATTTGAATTATTGAGCACTCAAATCAATGGCTGGATGGAGCTGAGGCTCGTCCGCTCCAAATGAGGCTGATATTATCTAATAAATGGCTAAAATAAAGGAAATTCAGACCAGATTCAGTGACCACAGTATGAGGATTTTAGGACATTATGAATGTGCTAAGTGGATAAGTTTCAAACTATAAAGCATTTATTTACTTGGTGGAAAATATTCAAAGAATGAATGTAAATATTAAAGGGGACCTATGATGCAAGATCCACTTGTTCATGTCTTTTATACATAAACATGTGTCCCCTCTGTGTAAAGAGATTATGAAAGTTTGAGGAATACATTTATTATTTTATTATTTTATATTTATTATTTTCATTTATTTAAAAACCTGTATGAAAATGAGCTGATCAGATTTTGGCCACTTTATGACGTCATCACGATTTTTTGTCTTGTGTAACCATTACCCAATCACCAACCAAGGTAACCCCCCCCTCCCCACCTTATCACCTGAATCTCCTCCTAGAGCACCATTGTGTTCTTTTTAACCAAATATCTCACAGAGGGGCGTGGGGAGTGGCTCCTTATTTTCATCTACACTTTAGATCAACTATCTAAACTTTAGATGAAAAGGTGCCACTCCCAATGATTCTGGGTCTGTTACTTTAATCAGCACTTTTGAAACAGGGCTGAAACAGAGGAGATGATGGGATGTTACAATGCATGATCTGTTTGGTATTTGGAGCCAAACACTTCAGAGACATGTTTTGTATTTATCTGAGACCTATAATATATTGATGAAAAACAGTACAATAGGGGACCTTTAAAGTGTGTGGATATCCACAAACTTTAGTGCAGATATTTATGGATTTTGTTGTAGTACTGTGTGAATATGATTCCCCTTCACAGGCCAAGCCATTTTTTGTGGGTGTTTATTTATTCGAGTGCAACAAAACAGCAAATGGATAAAGATGAGGTTGCAACAGACTAACCTTATTGGTCTGCCAAAGGTCCCTCAACTCTCCCCTGCCTGGCAGTTATATTTTACTTTGCATGGCAGCAAAGTCATATTTCTCAACATTTCAGTTACTTGCAGCAACAGTGAGGAAGCTACATTTTTACAGTAGTATAATTTACACAAGAAAGAGAGAATACCAGTTCCAGAACATTGTTGTTTAACATGCAAGGCATTAGATAGCTGGACATGTGACACTGGCAGAAGATAAAATAAATGTTTGCAGACATTTGCACAGTTTTGGATTCCAAAACAAGTCATATGAAGCAATAAAGCCCTGGTCAGCACATTTGGGGACACAAGATTATCCATGGGGTCAATGAATGATTAATAAAGAGAGGCAAAGGGTGAATTCACATTGCAGAGAAGTATCTAAGAGAGGTGTTTCACAAGTTCAGACATGGTATGTGAATCAGTTTATAAGTGATCCGCCTTTTTTTACTGGGCAGTTTCAACACAACACCCCAATAGGGCCTTCCATTGGTCTAAGCTACCTACATTTTTTACAAAACTTTGTTAAATTAGTTTTTTTTCCATAATCCTTTTGTTATTTGTTGAAAAATATATGTATCAGTGCATGGTTTTCATTTGTTTTGACCTGTCATAGATATTTCAGAACAATGAGTGTAAAACATCTGCTATCTAAAAATCTATATTTTGATGGATTAATATACTATGGCGTCCTGTATTTAAGTTCTACAGACAATGCTTAATTTGACAAGGATGCATTTCTGTTTTTACTGTTTGTCCCACAAACTCAATACTGTTGCTCTTTTGTTGAAAATGGTCTGTGTTGTGATCCTTCTAGACTGTAAGGAGAAACATTTGGAAAACACAATAAAAACAACATGAAAGATTTCAATCTGACTTCTCTCAGAGACCCATACGTCCTTGGGCATTGTGATGTGATGGAATTAAACCACTTCAAGGCGGCAAATGATGATACATTTCTTATTTCACTTCCACACGTGATACTTTGTTAATTAGAGTTTGAATTATTGTGACTCCATAGAGAGAGGAATAAACCATATGCTTTAAGGAGACAATAGAGCCTCACATACTGAGCAAGTATCAGTCATTTACAAAATGACCTTCGTTAAACTGACCTGCTTTTAAATAATGTGTAGTTCAAATTGATGTCCAGAGAGAGGCAGCAGTGTATGCTTACATAAGTGTGTGCAGTGGAAGGACATCCATGAGTTCCTGTGTTCTGTACTTTGTGTGCGTGTGTGTGTGTGTGTGTGTGTGTGTGTGTGTGTGTGTGTGTGTGTGTGTGTGTGTGTCAGTCAGTGAGTAAAGGGAGAGTGAGAACAGCACAAACAGCCAAATGTATCTCTTTTTTTCTGTCTTAATGCCCAGTGGTTTCATGATGAGTGACAGTTGTACTCAGCATGTGTACAGTTTAGAGCCTGTGGGTCTCAGATTATCTGTGTTCTGACACTTGAATGACACACGATAACGTGCAAAGTCCTTTTCAAAAGTTAATTACCAGATGTCCAGTCAGGGAATTTGGCTGGGATCCAATGCGTTTAATTCAATCCTCTCATCCCCTTATCATGTACAATTATAAACTCTTCTAGATTCTGATTTAAATATGACAAGTTCAATTTCACCACGAGGGAACTAGTGTAATCCAAAAGCAACCAACTGGCTGTCATTTGCAAATAGCTGCACACTATCTTTACAAGCTCATGTTGCCTTGAAATTGCAAACCTTCAGTGACTCGCTGGATGTTTCTCAAATTTAGTATAAAGCTGTACAGAAGTAGCTTATGCCTTATAATAATGTAGATCCTCACTTTTATTTATCAACTAAAGGAATTCCCTGTAAATTCCACATTGTTTAAACTTTACTAATTGCACTTTCAATAGTGTCTGTGTATCAAAAGCCCATCAATTAACCTATTTGTGTTATTGTTAAGTGCGACAGCCTGGGTATAAAAAGAGAAAGACAGTAAGTAGTAAAACTCGTCTTTGGTATTTCAATGGGATTAGTTGAAAAAGGCAACTCCAGCTTCATAATCCACGTTTTTACTAGCAGCACTACACTGTAAACCCCAACAGTACTACTAACTCATAAGTATTATGGGTACTGCAATCAAAACCAAATATCAAGTCAACCGAACAATAAACTTATACATTCTTTTAACGAAAAGTGCTGTTTAATTTTATGTGAATCATAGTTTATGAGTGAATATTCAAATTTGAATTAAAATTTCTGAGTGAACAGTCACGCAGCGTCTGACGTCATTACGTCATGACGTTGCGACGAATCGAGAAAAATCCATCCAACATGGCGGCTCTTGCAAGCGAAGGGATTCCACGCATGGTTTAACTTGTAAGTACCTAAATAAGTCGTTAAAATTGTTTTTCTTGTTATAATATTGTAAGGATATACCACCCGAAGATTATATGTGATCGTTAGACCCCATTGTTTAATTCAGAGTTACGTGCTGAGCGCCGCAGTTACCGGCTGCTTCGCGCTATTTTTTGAATTTCGGACTGCCGGTTAAGTACTGTAAGGACGTTAACGTTAGAGCAGCAGCATGTTAACTTTAGCTAGAAACTCCTATTAGTCAACGGCAGCCCTACTGTTTAAAAGTGTGTTTCTTACTGGTGCTTATTAACGCTATTATCTGGTAAATGTGATGTAATTCCTGAATATTCTTAAATTAAGCTAGTAGCTAGCTAGAGCTGTTTTGCACAATTACGTTGATGCTAGTGACAGTAAGCTAATGAAAACGGCAAGCTTGTATTAAAACTCTGCACATTTATTTTTGCCGTAGGGTGAAGCTGGTGCATAGCAGTGAGACTCCTCAATATTCAAGGTAACTTATTGCTAACCCATAGCTACTGTGTTCTGTTTTTTTTAATTTAAATTATTTTAGAACTTTTTTCCAGTAGCTTTATTTAATTAATTAGGTATTCAGAACATTAAACATAACTGGCCTTTCTACAGTAATCCGATCATCATGCTTTGTTGAAGTTTCATGGTTGAAATGGTTCAATGGAGTGTAACGACGTTAACGTCAGAGCAGCAGCATGTTAACTTTAGCTAGTAACTCATATCAGTCAACGGCAGCCCCACTGTTTATAAGTGTGTTGCTGGTGCTTAATGTTATCCGCTATTATCTGGTAAATGTGATGTTATTCCTGAATTAAGCTAGTAGCTAGCTAGAGCTGTTTTCCACAATTACGTTGAGGCTTACACACAGGCATGTTTGCTAGTGACAGTAAGCTAATGAAAACTGCAAACTTGTATTAAAACTCTGCACATTTCTTTTTGTCGTAGGGTGAAGCTGGTGCATAGCAGTGAGACTCAAGATTCAAGGTAACTTGAACAGAACTGGCCTTTCTACAGATCCGATCATCATGCTTTGTTGAAGTTGCATGGTTGAAATGGTTCAATGGCATGGAAGGGCAAAGTGTGTGCTGTCTCGTCAGACACCCGGGCTCAGTTATTTAGGCACTATTGTTTGAAGCATAGCCAGTACTCAATAGTTAACCCTTTGCCATTTGTCTATGACTCTTTCATTTTTTACATTTCAATCATTTATCATTGCAGGAAGTTGAGAAAAGTGAGAAGAACCTCATCTTGATAGAAAAGCTCATGCAGACGACTTTTGCCCTTCGTTGCCAGGAGATCGTTCAGGAAAATCCCTTGGTCGGGGACTTTTTAGAGAAATGGCTGGCCCTCCGGATGGAATCACAGGTAAAACACAGACGCTCTCACAAGTTTTAATCTGTCTCTTAGTCTGCACACCGTTTCCCAATTTTGCTTGCAAAAACTGCCTACTTTGCACACAATGGAACAGTGTTGTTGTTCAATGTTAATTATAAAACAATATTTATTTTTATAATATAAATAATAATACAAATTAAATGAATACTTTGAATATGATCATGTTGCAATATATTTTTACAGAAACAACAAAACAGGTTGCATCACTAATCATTTTACAGTTGCATATCCATTAATGATCTTTATACATTTGTGTGTTCCTGTAGGTTTGTGCCGAGTTTCACCGAATCACAAACGCCAACCTACGGAACCAGTTATTTTCTGAACTAGACGGACACACCCTGAGGCCCTGCGTGAAATCCTAAGGATTTGTGATCTCCAGGTGAGTTTAATAGAAGTTTGGTCCAAATCAAGTTTTTCCAATGACAGCCGAGGCTAAATTACTTGATTGGAACACACCATAGTATCAATGCTTATTTACTTTTACACATAACCACATTCATTAAAATTCACAAATAATAAACAGATAATGTAAAAGATACTGGATTGTATTTTTCAGAAGAGTTTCACAAATATAACAATAACAAATAGGGGGGGGGGAAATATTTAAAATTATTAATTTAATTTGACAACAATCAAAAATAAATATGTATATATTAATTTAAAAAGCCATTGCTTTTTAATTATGCTAGTTTTTGCTTGTCTTTCCAGGAAGTACAGGATGTCCACATGAAACGCAATGCAGCCCTTCGAGCCCTCCCATTATACCTGCGTGAGGAGGACCCACAGTTCTTCAAGTCTTGGAGCGTAAGTATTTAGTGCACTCAAAGTACTGCTAGTGAGGTCAGAATGTGTGCTTGTAAAAAACTGTTTCGCTATTTTACCCTTCCAGTTAAAAAAACAAACAGATGGGAGCAATCAAAAATATTTTCAGATATATAAAAGAAAGGTTCACCTAAACACATTTTTTAAATGCCTTCCTATATACTTACCTGTTGAGGAATATGTGAATGAGATTGTTTAGTTACTTCAAGTCAACCTTACAGTTGGACTCTATGCATTTCCAGGCAGAGGAGGTGGACCGGCCAGACATCACCAACACACCGGTTGCTATTGTCAGCATGGTCACGAGGGCACTCCAATTCAAGTTGATCTCAGTCCGGCAAGTGCTGCTATTCTGGTGGAAGGTGATTTCGTCATCAGCAATATCCGCAGGATGGCGGATTCCTTTGCATTGTTGTTTGGCTTGATGTACGTGTTACATTTGGACTACCCCAAGAAACTCATCAACACTTTCACTTTCATACAGAAAGTGCTGATGGGCCTTGATGATGGTAAACCACTGAAGCCCTGCATACTCAATCTAAAAAAATGACCTGTTACTAAAAAAGTAGGCCGTGTTACAGGTTGAAACTTTGCACATGCCAATGTTTGTTTTGCACAGTTAAAGGTGGGGTAGGTAAGTTTGAGAAACCGGCTCGAGATACACTTTTTGTTATATTCCATGGAATGCTCTTAACATCCCGATAGCAATGAATATCTTAAGTGCTTTGACAAAAAATCCATAAAGAAGTGTCATCTGTGGAAGCCGTAGTACTGTAAAAAGCACGACCTACCTGCCTGTCAGCCTTCCATCTGTGCACAAACTTATCTCGTGCCCTCATTGGTCATGTGCGTGTTCGTGTGTGTTGGAGGAGGGGCTCTGTAAGGAAGTGGCAGATTTTTTCCGGCTGTGTATTTTCAAATTCTAGCGCACTCGAGCTGGTTTCTTCAAAATTACCTACCCCATCTTTAATTTGTTGCTTAAAGGAGACCTATCATGCTATATTTAAATGATATAGTGTATGACCATACCTATATAAGGTATATTTATACATTTTATTTTTCAAAATACCAAACAGATCATTTTTTAGCCATGCCTCGTTTCGCTCATTTTCGCTCTATTCCAAGCCTGTCTTTGAAAATTCTGAGCAGCAGCTGACCACGCCCCCCTGCAGAAGAGCGGGGCATGAGCCGGTGAGAGTCACGTTACCATGCTTGCTGTGATTACGAGTGTGGAATAAACATGTCATCTCAGAGCAATGCATGTGTTCAAGCATATTATCAATTTGATCCAGAGACTGACCCTGAAGCAGCGGAGGTTTTGGTGGAGGTGCAAAGATCTCGGTTGCAGCAGGACGTTTCTGAATGGTTAGTTGACAAGCTGTTGTCCCTATTTATTTTACTCTGTTACGATGCGTGCTACTTATTCCGTTCATATTTTGGCTAATTAGCAAGAATGCAATGTGTACAGTTTATAACTTAGAGTTTGTAACGCAAAAACAGAAATACATATATATATATTTATAAAGGGAGACATTCATATTTTCAGCATATATACAATGGCCTCATTGCGTTTAATAGTTTACAGTCCTTTTCTTCCAACATTGTGCAACAACCGTTGGAAAGTTCAATAACTTAGGGTGATAAAAAGTATAACTCCAACAACACCTCAGTTGTCAGCAATGTGTGTAGTTTCATGTGTTTTTAAAAGCTCAGTTATTGACTTCTTTCTACAGGTGTACATGTGCAAATTGCGCCACGATGCCTTCTGAACGGAGAATGTGTGCTGCATGGCGATACCACAGGTAACATTTTTGATAGCTTCACTAAGTTGTCTGTTTAGAGCAAGGGTGGCCAACCCGCGGCTCTCGAGCCGCATGCGGCTCTTTGCCTAGTTTCATGCGGCTCTTCAGTTCATATCGAATTTTATATGTGTGAGTTTGGGGGAGAGACACTGACTCCTGACTAGTTTTGCATGGTGTACCGATACTTGAAAGGTATACCGCGATACCCTGCCGTTAAAAACGTTACGATTCCTCCGTTTCATTAGTATCGGTACTTTAAGAATGACGGGGGAAAGTACTCCGGTGAGAAAGCGCCGTTTTAATAAGAGCCGTGTGTGTTCAGCGCTCTGCTTCCACTCCCTGCACTGCAGCCGTGCCTGCAGTCCCGCCCCTCTCAAGCACGTTCTAAGTCCCTCCCCTCTCAAGCACGCTCTAAGTCCCTCCCTTCTCAAGCACGCTATAAGTCCCTCCCCTCTCTCGTGCACGCGCTAGCTGCCAGAGCATGTGAGAAAACCAGAAGCATGGCTGCAAGTGGGAGTACAACTGCCGCTGCGCCTCGGCTTGTTGAGAAAAAAGACGCCAGAAGCGATGTATTTTAGCTATATCTCTGACAGTGAGGGCAAGCCTACGGACACCACGAGGCCCGTCTGTAAGAAATGTATTAATTTTATTTAATACGAATTCTTGTCATTTATTTTATTTATTGTTCTCATTGTTTAAAAGTTTGTGTTATGGTTATGGTTCTGGTGTGAAATAAAGCACAATAATTACATTTAAGACTGTTTCCCTTTTTTTAAGAAAAATAATCGGAATCGCAATTCTTGACTTGGTATCGAAACCAAAATGTTGGTATCGTGACAACACTGACAGTTAAACCTGATATTTAGTAGGTCTGTTAAGTATTGAATGCTGATAATTCTGACGTAATTTGGCTGGTCAAAGTTGTTCGGGCTCGGATAAAATAGCTCCGTTACTTTCGTCCCGTGTTACTTTCGTCCCGGCTCTCCCTACGTGTGTATGTGTGGTGTCAGGTGTCAGTATGAGAGGATGACAGCGCGTCTAATTTTGATGTGGCCCAAGAGCCAATCACAATAATACCTGCGATGCAGTGAACCAATCACCTTTGAGGGGGGGGAAACCTATCGTTGATTAAACACTATCCAGTGTTTCCCCTACCATTGTCTTAGAGGGGCGCTGCCCGCAAACGGAGCCCCGCGCCCCGCCAACGGAGCCCCGCGCCCCCCCCTGGAATTGAAGGTGTTATATATATAATAAAAAAAAAATATATATATGTAGCACCAAATTGCAAATAATCTGTAACTACTGTCACTTTTCACATTGAACATGTGCTCTTTTATTAAATAAACTAAACGCTTTCATCTTAAGTTGTGGGTTTAGTGTTTTTGACCCTAAGAAACACTGATGCATTAATCAATAACAATAATCCACAGCTCCTCTCTGCTCCAGAGGATTTAAAAAATATATATCCCAATGCCACAAAAATGCATCAGTGACGTGGTTGAAATCTTGTCTCCAGAAAACAAAAAACTGAAACAAGCGGTATCAGTGACTGTGTGTTTGATGTGGCTCTTTGCAGTAACATAGAACAAATGTGGCTCTTAACCTCTGACTGGTTGGCCACCCCTGGTTTAGAGAATGCATTTTTAACATTTCATTCAATATATGTTTATCACACTAGGTGTCAAGACGGATGCAGGAACTTGAGGACTCTGTAACCTGTGGTGGACCATCCTGGATTGGAGCCTGTGTGCCTGAATGTGTTCTCCCTGCAGAATGCATTGAATATTTACAGAGCTGAACATGGTGGACTACAGTTGAGGCAAATAGAGCAGTGAGTGGTTTGTTTGTTTTGACTGAAATTGTAAAACGAATGCCAATATTGTTCATGGAAATAAATACTGGTGTATATGGCTTTATGCAATCTTTCATTCTGTCATTGTACATGTACTATTATATACTACACAGCAATGGCATAACACACCCATGTGTACGACAACAAAAGTCCACACACAACCTTATGCTTTTGAAATCAGAATATTCTTTACCCATCCAAACATGAATAATCACGACACATTTGATATCAACTCGGAACTTTATTGTCAAAATCAACGGTTCTTTGAACCCATAAAAAAAAACTAAATGTTCTTGTATTTTGTATAAATTACACTAAATATTTTTTTTTAATGATTTCAGGCGTCACAGGTATCTAGCCTACAGAAGCTTTGTGAGCTGGTGCTGGGGCTTCCTTGGACGCAGGATCAGAGTGGTGATTCCGGCCTGCGTTGTCCTCAAGGAGGCAGGAGTTTCCTGATCCGCAAAATGTCGATGTTGGGTTCAGACAGCAGCCAAATTGAACCGTGTAGCATACCCGGCGATGACCTCGTCCCTGTCAGGTCGCTCATAATGGTGCAGGGTCCAAAAAGACTTGGTCGAAGATGAGGTCCATCAAGTTGGCCACGTAGCCTGTGCAATGTTTAAAAAAAAAGCACAACAAAAAATGTGATTTAGATTAGTATATGCATGTAAAAAACTGAAAGTTCTTTCTAATTTTATATTTGTAAATAGTTGTATAATAAATATTTTAAACACTTACGGAATGTGGGGTCAGTCTTTACTGGTTTTGCTCTGCATTCTCCCTTCCTGGCCTTTGGGAACTGCAGTTTATACAGAGGGTTTCCAGTGGATGTTGGCTTGTGCACGCTCAGCGTTTTCATTGTAGTGCAGGGCTGCCAGGTACAGTCTTTCATTTCCGCCATGATAAAAAAAAAATGTAAATAATAGCAAAGGATGTACAAATTGTCACTAATTAGTAAGTATGTCAGGTGCTGGCCTGTAAAGAAGAAAACATAGTTAGAACAAAATCATCTCAATTTAGTATTCAGGATGAGAAAATACTATTTGGATAAATATAGTCTGAAATCCCAAAAGATGGGGCTTAAAACTCTCTATTTAGCAAAGCTCTTTGCTTAGCCTTTTCCAATCTGAGTTAGTTTTGAACCGTAACGTGCATGCTGTGTTTCTGACTCAATACAGATGATATGTTGGGGAGGGGCTGAGCTCAGTAGACTGACTGTAATGAGTGCTAGCCACTAATTAGCCTGTTGCTAGGTAAGGCCTTGTCAACAACAACATACCAACGGGGCTTTAGCTCCGTTTTACTCGTGTGTGTGTCCCCTCGCATACATACAGTGTTGTATCCTCACACACCCCCATTTATATTCATGTGCGCAAACAAGTAAACACACAAAAGCTTTTACATATAACGCTGCAAAAAACGGCATGTCTCATTAGCGTAGCGCAGAGTCCTGCATCGGGTCGGGTACCCGCGGGTATTCGACGGGTGACCCGCAAAAAAGGCGATTCGCGGGTGGTATTTTTTTCAAACGCTTTTTTCCGGGTTCGGTTCTGGGTAAAACAAAGATGATGCGGGTCGGTTCGCGGGTGTTGCATAGTAGGCCTAAATATATTAAAATAATAATTATTTAGTTTAATGTTTAAATCCTCAGACCTCTCCCCCGCGGGACCGCGCATAATCATAACCTCTGCAGCGCATCAATCTGCTGCTGTGCGCGCCACATTCGAAATGGCTGAGGTGAAGCTCTCTAGCGGAGAATACAGCATTTTCAATAACACTTCCTCAAGAGCGAAATCCAACGTCTGGGAGGCTTTTGGTTCCTAGATGGAGAAAATAACCAACATCCCACGCTTTTTGCGACAAATATGCACCTGCGTGTGTTAACAATTGCACGTTTTCACTGCTCATACAGTATGCGGGTTCGGGTCGGGGATCTTGTGCCGACGGGTCGGGTTGCGGAACTAATTGGCAATAGGTGCGGGTAGCGGGGCGGGTTCGGTATTGCACGTCGCGGGAGCGGGTCTTGAAAATCAGACCCGTGCAGGACTCTGGCGTAGCGTAGCTTACAGATCGATGATATCTGATCGTTCTTACAGACTACAATCA